TTTTCTTTCATTTTTACTTACATTCATTTTCTGCTTAATGTATTCTGCTCTCTGCCCTACCACACACACAATGTTTTTTTAAGGATAGCCCCTTCTGTGTAGTCTGATCTGGTTCAGGAACAACTTGTTCCTTTTCAGTAAGAATCATTCAGATGTGATAGGGGAAGCTAATGCATGGGTTAATCCAACCATGAGCTCTAGAGGTCCTGCAGCACTTCCTGGGTACTTTGGTCACTGGGTTGGGACATCTCTTATTCACCATCATATATCTAAGGCCTACCCAGTACATGGTTAGCACTCAAATTCCTGCTGAATGGATGACTTCTACTGAACATCTCATTTTTTCTTTCATCTGATACCTATTATGCTGACCACTATCAAGAACCAGAAAGTCAGGGGCCGGTGAGATGGCTCAGTAGAATAAATGTTTCCCTGGCAAGCACAAGGGCCTGAGTTCAATCCCTGGTTCTGAAAAAAGAAAAAAAAAAAAAAAAAGAACCAGAAAGTTGACTGAGGATACAGCTCAGTGGTATTTTCCTAGCATGAGTAAGTTCAATTTCTAGCACTTCTAAACAGAAAGAAATTGGAGAGGCTGTGGAGAAGTTAGAACCCTTGTGCAGTGTTCATAGGTGTGTAAAGTGGTACAACTTCTATGAAAAATAATATGGAAATTATTTGAAAATTCTTTTAAAATGCTAAAAACAGAATTACTATATGATCTAACAATTCCATTTCTGTAATTTTCTGCCATTCTATAAGATCTAGTCAGTTTGCTTATTTTATATATTTTTTTAATTTCATTTGTGTGTGTGTGTGTGTGTGTGGCCAGCTCAGCCTGCCAGGGGGCGGGGTTAGCTGGCATGTGGTGCTGAGGGATTGAACTGTGGTCCCTGTGCTTTGCTAAGCTTGTTCTAAGTAGGTGCTTTAGACCACTGAGCCATCTCACCAGCCCCTTATTTTTTTAAATTAAATTAAATTTTTTTTTTTTTTGCGGAACCGGGGACTGAACTCAGGCCCTTGCACTTGCCAGGCAAGCACTTATTCTACTGAGCCATTTCCCCGGTCCCTTTAATTTCATTTTAAAATTAAATTAAAAAATATTTGAGTCAGGGTCTCACTATACAGTGTGGGCTGGCCTTGAACTCACTGTGTGGCCCAGGATGGCCTCATACTCAAGGTGATCCTCCTGCCTCAGCTTCCCAAGTGGTGGGATTATAGGCGTGCACCATTACTCTCAGCTCAGTTTACTAACAGTGTATTTTGGCTCAGAAAAGTTTTAATTCTGGGGCCAGGTGATGGCTCAGTGGAATAAGCACTTGCCTAGCAAGTGCAAGGGCCTGAGTTCAATCCCTGGTTCCACCAAAAAAAAAAGTTTTAATTTTGATGAAATCGTATTTACATTTACTTTGACTGTACTTTTGGTGTTATATAGCTAAAAATCCATTGTCAAATCCAAATTTGTAGTTCTTTTTTCTGTTAGCAATTTATCATTTTAGGGGCCAGGGAGATGGTTCAGTAGAACAAGCACTTCCCTGGCAAGCGCAAGGGTCTGAGTTCAATGCCCGGTTCCACAAAAAGAAAAAAAAATTATCATTTTAGCTCTTTGATTCATTTTCAGTTGATTTTTACATGTGATGTGAGGTAGGAGCTCTGCTTCACTAGTTTCTGTGTAGATATCTAGTTGTCCTAGCATAGCATGTTACACAAACAATTCTTCCGCTATTGGTTGTAAATGATGCAGCCCGGAGACAGGCGGGGCAGCAGCACTGACATGCTCCCACTGCTCAGCCTCCTGGTTTTCACTGGCCACACCTCTGCCCTATACTTACTGTCCACACTGCTGCCCCTCAGGATCAAGTGCTGGGTCCATGGAGGAGCCTGGAGACAGGCCATTGTGGTTGGCTTCCCACCTAGCAAAGCTGCACAAGCTCCCCAAGGTCCTTCAATAGGCTCTGGTTTCACCCTGTTTGGGCCATGGCTAGAGCTTCTCCTGCGCTGTGTGCTGACCTCGGTGGGTGCCTTGTGCTGATACCTGCTGTTTAATGTGTGTGGTACATAGCTGGTGTCCTCCTACTTTCCTGAAAAAGTGGCCCTGCTGCAGAGGAAGGTGCGATCCCATGTGATTTCATCTGTATGCCAATAGGCTCCATCCTGTCAACTCTCACTTTTCTCTATGCTCTCTTCTCCTGAGAAGCTGTCTTTAAGCTCTTAGCCATTGTCCTGGTAGCCTTAGTCCCTGGAACCCTCACTTAAAAATTAAGCCAAAAGCACCTGCAATTAAATGAGAAAGGCAACGCCAATCATAGAAATAGAAGAAAGACAGATGACTTGGATTTTCCATTTGTTTCATTCCTGAAGCCTGTTGCTGATCTGTAGATGTGGCTTAAAGACCCTCACTCTTTTTGGGCACCATTCATGTCTGTGCAGTATCTCCTCTAGAAAGTGAATTGTATCAGGGTTCATTCCAGGACTCTGAGCCACAAGCTCAGGATGGTCTCTTAGGGTTGCCTCTTGCCCATCCTGGCTGCCCTGGGAGATGGTTGTCCTTATCCAGACTGCCTCCTGCAAAGTGACAGACTGTGTGACAGGTGTTCTCCTGTTAAGACTCATGGAAGTCAGTGCTGACTTCACCCTCATCTCGGGCATGGCTCATCTAGTTTCTCTTTTTTTCTGTACTTTTTCCTGGTGACCTTGTTTCCATAAGCCAAGGGAATCAAGTTGAACTTCCATATATGGCTCAAATGCAGTGATTTTTGTTTGCTCTTATGTTCAAACATCTGATACCGATGTATGTCAGATCGTCCTGGCTGAAGTTCCGGACAAGCTGCTTGCAGACAGACCATTAAATAGTAATAGAACAAACTCTGTATTTTATACATTCTGGCATTCTGGACAGAGCAGGGGCCTTGACTCATGTGAGTCAAATGACCATCTGTATATTTTTTGGCTTCCTTTCTGTGTAGGAGTCTATCTTCTCCGGTTAGGAAAGTGATTCCATATACTAGGCTACTGGCCAGTGTCCCCTCCAAATGTTTTTTTTTTATAGAACCAGGGATTGAACTCAGGCCCTTGCGCTTGCCAGGGAAGTACTTACTCCACTGAGCCATCTCCCTGGCCCCAAAACACTTTGTATTTTTTAATTTTTTTCAGTACTGGGTATTGAACTCAGGACGCTGTACTTGCCAGGCAGGCACTTATTCTTCTGAGCTATCTCCCCAGCCCTTAAATGTATTTCATTTTGTCATTTGCTGAGAATAACTGAGGATTTTTTATTTTATTTCTTATTCAGAGAGGAAAAGTTGGGCCAGCAAGATAGCTCAGCAAACTAAGCACCTGCTTAGGCAAGCAAGGGGTCAGAAGTTTGATCCCTGGCACCACATGCTGTGCTGGTCCTGCCCCTGGGTATGCTGAGCCAGCCACCAATACTGGGCGGGAATGGTGGCACATACTTGTAATCCCAGCACTGGGGAGACTGCAAACATGAGGATTGCTACAAGTCTGAGCTGCATAGTGAGAACCTGTACCAAATACATCCAAAAAAAACAAAAAAACAAAAAAGGAGGGGGCTGGTGAGATGGCTCAGTGGTCTAAAGCACCTACATAGAACAAGCTTAGCAAAACACAGGAACCGCGGTTCAATCCCCCAGCACCACATGCCAGCCAGCCCCGCCCCTGGTGGGCTGAGCTGGCCACACACACACACAAATTTTAAAAAAATTTTTTTAAAAAAGGAAATGTTGGTCTGATTACGTTCTGTTGTAATTTTCTTTTCTTTCTTTTTTTTTTTTTTTGAGGAACCAGGAATTGAACTCAGGCCCCTGCGCTTGCCAGGCAAGCACTTATTCCACTAAGCCATCTCCCCGGCCCTTCTGTTGTAATTTTCTAATGCTATTACTGCTTCCTATAGCTGCAGTGTTGGTTTGAAACACACCTGGCTCATTGCCTGTAAGGCCAGACAGACCTCGGCACCTGAACTGACCAGCTTTATGACATCATAACCTCACCACGCTTACCAGAACTGCTATCCTTGGATATTATCTGCTGTGTTTTTTTATTTGGGTTGGTCAACTCTTTAAGAATAGGCCTTGGGCCAGGGAGATGGCTCAGTAGAATGAGCACTTCCCTGGCAAGGGAAGGGGCCTGAGTTCAATCCTTGGTTCTGCTAAAAAAAAAAAAAAGGCCTCTTAGAGCCGGCCAAATAGCTCAGCAGATTAAAGTACCTGCAAGAAGGCACAGGGGGCCGGGGAGATGGCTCAGTGGAATAAGTGCTTCCCCGGCAAGCACAAGGGTCTGAGTTCAATCCCCGGTTCTGCAAAAAAAAAGAAAAAGAAAAAGAAAAAGCAGACTTTAATTACTTGTTGGGGCCGGCGAGATGGCTCAGTAGAATAAACGCTTCCCTGGCAAGCCCAAGAGCCTGAGTTCAATCCCCAGTTCTGCCAAAAAAAAAAACAAAAAAACAAAAAACAACAACAACAACAAAAAAAACACTAAAAAATTACTTGTCATCAGGGGCTGGGGGAGAACAGAAAATGCTCAATAGTTGGATTTCCTTTTCTTTTTTATGTATGTGGTATGGAGTCTTATTACATAGCTCAGACTCATAGTGATCCTGTTTTCAGCCTCCCCAGTGCTGGGATTACAGGTGTGCACCACGCCAGGTCTCAGTGGCTGGCTCAGCATGCCCGGGGGCGACGACAGCACACATGGTGCCAGGGGATTAAACCCCTGGTCCTTGCACTTGCCTAAGCTCTCAGCAACCCTAGATTTCCTTTTAGGGTAAGATGTGTTTTCAAATTATATGAGGTTTCAGTTGCACAGCACTATGAATATACTAAATGTAACTAACATATACATCTTAAAGTGGTTTGTTATATTAATTTTACATTTATTTATAGTCTTTTTGAGATGAGGGTCTCTGTGCAGTTCAGGCTGGCCTTGAGCTCACTCTGTAGCCCAAGCTGGTCTCAAACTCCCAACAATTCTCCTGCCTCAACCTCCCGAGTGCTGGAGTTTCAGGCATGAGCCACTATGCCCAGCTTTATCTCAATTTAAAAAAGAAACAAATAGTAAGAAAAGTACATACACAAGGTATGAGAAAAAGGGATATATTTACAAAACAAAAACACCCCTGACTTTAGCTAGAGGAGGAAGAAAAGAGGTAGCAAGCATGAACAAGTCGTTTCACAGCCTATCCTCACTCCTGGAGGAAGCCCAAGTACCTGCCCATGGAGGGGTCCCTGACTTATCCCTATGCCCCAATCCAAGAAGCAATCCCATCAGCTGCAGTTCTCAGTCCCCTTGCCAGTCGTCCTGTGCCCAGGTAGGCATAGGTGAAACATACTCAAAGTCTGGCCCTTTATAGCAGAGGGCATGCAGGAACATCACAAGGTCTTGGGGCAAGGGATCCTGTCGCACCAGTCGGCACTCTGTACAGAGTGGGTCTGTCTCTTGATTTCTAACATCTGTTTCTGCTGCCTTCTCTGATGCCAAGGCCAACATGCCTAGATCTTGAGGGGCTGCCTCAACTACTCCATCTGTCTTCTGGGCAGCTGCAGTCAACTCCTCCAGGCTGTCCTTGGCCAACTCTGAGGAAGGAGCTGTAGAGTCTGGGAGTCCTGAGGACAGGTCACTCTCACAGAGATCCAGCACATCCAGGCTCTGTTTGGCCTGGTGCTCTGCCACCAGGTCCCGGAGCAACTCCTCATCTGTCTTGGGAATGTGGCCACCTCGGCCTCGGGAAGGACCCCAGGCAACTGAATTGTAGATGGGGTCATTGAGAATGGGGTGGCCCAGGAACTGGAGGTGGACTCGAATCTGATGGGTCCGGCCTGTGAGAGGCCGGCACCGTACCACACTGGAGTGGCCATTGTAGCTCAGTCTCTGGAACAGGGTCTCACAAGGCTTGCCTTGGGGATCCACGCGGCATACTCCTACCTTGTAGGACACCACTAGGATGGGTTCCTTGCAGGTCACCTCCTCAATGGGGAATTCCCCTTCTACTCGGCATACGTACTCTTTTTCCAGCTACACAGGATGAAGGAGAGAAAGATCAACACAAAGTCTAAAATCAAGGAGTTGAAACCCTCCGCAGACTGGCAAGGAATGCACCTCTGTTACACCAAGCAGGGTTCAAAACCCAACTCCTCCACTTGTCAGTTTAGTAATCTTGAGTATTTTACTTACCTCTTTAAATCCCATTAACTCATTTAGAAAATGTGAGTTTAGAAAAACATTTACCTAGCAGGGCTGTTATAAGCACTCAGTAAATTAGGCTCTAATGTGCTTGGAACTAAGCCTGCAGGTGATGGCCTGGCTCACCTGCCGGTCCCGAACTTGCTCATGAATCCTCTCAGAGACAGCAGCTGTCTTGGCAAACATGAGCACCCCTGAGGTTAGGCGGTCAAGCCGATGCAATGGGTGTAGCTCCTTTAGTTGGTGCTCCTTGCCCAGGATGAAGATGACTGTGTTGTGTCGGAAGCGACCACAGGGGTGGACAGGAATGGAGGAAGGCTTGTCTACAACCACCACATCTTCATTCTCAGCGAGCAAACGAATAGGCTCTGCTGTGACTGGTGGCTCATGCCTGTGCACTGTGTTCCTCAAGAAGTCATTGTCCTGCCAAAAACAAAGGTCACCAGTCAGCTTGTACACCAGCAGTCTATAACCTGTCAGTTGCACACCCACCTATTCTTTACTGACATGGAAGAATGGTCATATGTGCTTAAGCAGAAAATGAAGTGTTGCATCCCATGATCTTACTGTGTAAAAATACAGATACAAAGGTTAATGATTATTGATAGGTGTTTTTTCAGGCACCCAGCACAGCAGAGAAACAGGCAGAAGGAAGAAGGGAAAGAGGCTTTATTATCTTTGAAGACGTGGAGAGAATGTGGGGAAGATAAGAAATTCTCCTGATTTGATCAACGGAAGACTGAGGCTTTTATGGCCTTTTGCCACGGGTGGAGTTTGAAGGGGCTGTTTAGATGTACCTGAGGATTTTTTTTTTTTTTTTTTGGGCTGGCTCAGGCTGCCTTAAGGGCAGGTCTGGTGAGGTATGGGGATCTGGGGATTGAACCATGGTCCCCTGCGCCTGACTGGGTTTGCTCCAGCAGACACTTAAACCACTGAGCTAATCAGCAAGCCCCTACATGTACCTGAGAGAGCTGATTGGGAGGTGGCAAGAAGGATGAAGAAATCGTACCCCAGGCTAAGTTGCAAAAGAAGAGGGAGGTGATCTTGGGAAGATGGGCTTTTGTTTTAAGGGCATCGGCCATATTAGATGACCACCATAATGATTTCAGCAATTCATACTAGGGCTAAAACCTATCAACTATATCTTTGGGTGATGAGATTATGGACTGTTTTTTGCTGTTGCCTATTGGTGTATTTTCTACAATAAAGTTGGGTTTTGTTTGTTTTAATGTATTTGATACGGGGTCTCACCACGCAGCTTGGGCTCATAGTGATCCTCCTGTTTTCTGCCTCCCCAGAGCTGGGATACAGGTACGTGCCACCATGCCCAGTCTTGGGGGTAGGGGAAAGGGAGGAAGGGGAGAGGGAGGAGAAGAGGAGGGGCCGGCGTGGCACGTGGTGCAGATGGAAGCCCCTGTCCCTGGTGCTTGGGTTAGTCCACTGAGCTATCTCACAGGCCCTAAGACAGGGTCTCACTATGCAGTTCAGGCTGGCCCTGAATTCAATATGCAGCCCAGGCTGGCCTCAAACTCAAGGCAATCCTTCTGCCTGTGCCACACCTGGCATCTGGGGTTTTGAGACAGGGTCTCCCTATGTAGTTTAGGTTGATTCAAACTCAGCAATACTGCTTCAGCCTCCTGAGGACTGCGATTTCAGGCATACAACATCACACCCCATAGTAAATTTCTTTTAACTAAAGGAAAAAGCTCCGTAAATCACTTATGACCTTGAAAAAGTCACTGAACTACCCTGAGCCTCAGTTTCCTTATCTGTAAAATGGGAAGGTTAGACCAGACCTGTGGTTTGAAGAGTTGGGAAGGCAGAGATTATGTCCAAATGCTGAAAGTGCCCACCCTTTCCTCGCAACCACGGTGAGTCAGTGTTACTGACAGGTGTCCCCAGAACTTCACCTTGAGCACAACGCTGAGGTCATGCACTGGCTCTTCATTGAGGTGCAGGCGGCCGGCCCGGACCGCCGCTTCGTAGTAGGCCAGCGGCTGGGCTCGGAACTCAGTGCTGAAGACGTGCAGCAAGCTGTGGCCCACCCAGCGGCCCTTGCAGTAGGTCCGAAAGTCGAAGTAATAGGGTCGCACCTTCCGCAGGCCGCCCTCGAAGTAGTAACTGGTCTCGGCGAAGTGCTCGTCACCAAAGCTCACCCCAGTTCGCCGCTTCTTCGGGGGTGGCACGACGCGCTCCCCAGTAGCGCCCCGTCGCTTCTTCCGCTTGGTGGGGTCGGCGGCTGGAGCTGAGGCTTGCTCCCCGCTCCCGGGCGTCGGCTTGGCCACAGGGCCGGCTGGCTCCGGGAGCCCCACGCGAGGCTCGCCCAAGTCGCTACCAGCGTCTCCGTTTTGCTGAGCTGCAGCCTTCAGTTCTCCTGCTGCCTCGACGCCCGTAGACAGTGCTTCTGCCATCGGTCCCCTGCAGCTATCCCAGGGCCTGGCAAAGCTGAAGGGCTGGGGGTTAAAGCGCCACCGCACAAGACGCCCCAGCCACCAGTGGCCACCCAGACGCATAGCCGCGCGGCCAGCACGCCAGCGTCGCGCTCTGATGGCGTCAGCCAGCAACAGCCAATCAAACAGGGCAAGTGCCTGGGCCGGGTCTGCGAGCGTGCCAATTGCTTAGGTCTAGAAACGCTTAAAAGGATGTTTATTTAAAACAGAGTAAGGCGCGCGGTCGGCGGCTGCTGGAAGTACGCACAGCCCTCAGGGCTCTCATTCTGGCCTTTGCTTGGCAAGTGCAAGGACCTGAGTTCAATCCCCGGTTCCGCCAAAAATAAATAAATAAACAGAAACAAAACAAAACATTTTTTGGTTTGTTCAGTGAGTCTGGTCTCCCTATGTAATTTAAACTCACCATATAGCCAAACAGGCCTTGAGCTTGGCAGTGATCCTCCTGGCTCAGCATGTGTCACCACATCTGTAATCCCCCAAAACACTGGAATGAAAGTTGCTAAATTCTGTGAGTATACTAAATACCGTCTATCTTTCTTTTCTTTTTTTTCTTTTCTTTCTTTTCTTTCTTTCTTTTTTTTTTTTTTTTCTATTTTATGGAAGGGTCTACAGGGTGTACAGGGTCTCACTACTAGATGAGTGAGACCCTGTTTACAGCAGCTAGGATTACAGGTGCGTGCCACCACGCCCAGTCTCAATTGCTGTCTCAGCGCACCCCAGGGGTGGGGCAGGCAGGCAGGCCCCGGGATTGAACCCCGCACTCTCCCTGGCATTTGCACCTATTTGACCAGCCCACCCTCTTTAGTTTTTAGAGTGAAATTCTCCCAGGTAGGTAGATATTCCAGTGCTAGGGTACCCCTCCCACACAAGGGACAATGTCCAATCCAATTCAGGAGACTTCAACTTTGTGATATAAAATGCTGGTGTTGATTTAGGGTATTCTTATCATGTGCCTTAGAACTTTACAGAGGAGTAAGAAAAGTCTTTTGCTTTTTTCTTTTCTTTTATTTTCTTTCTTTCCTTTCCTTTCTTTCTTTTTTTCTTTGCTTTTTTCTTTGTGCTATATTCCTTCTATAATTCATCAGTCTCGCCAAACTCATAGATGTACAACAGCTTGAGATAGA